AGACACTGTCCTGGAGTTTCTAGGAAGCCAGTCATTCCATGGGATCCTGATATGCTGATAATAGGAAATGCAGTCTCTTCTTATCTGGAGTGGTTCCTGGTCCTGTTTCCTTATTACAATCACAAAAAAAGATTTCAAGAAAATGACTGAGTCCCCTCCAAAACCAATTTATCAGGAGATAGGGCCTAGGCCTTGGTGTTTTTTTCAATGCTGCCCAGATTTTGAAGTATAATCCTAGTTGAGGATCACTGTTTTGACTATTGGTTGGTTCTTAAAGTATAGTTCCCAGGTCAGCAGCACTAGCAACATCTCTGAACTCGCAAATTCTCTGGCTTCACCACAGACATACTAAGTGAAAACTCTGGGGCTGTGGCTTTATTAAGAACCGCCCCCTCCCCAGGTGATCCTGGTGTGCATTAAAGTTTGAGGATCACTGCACTCTAGGTCAAGGGTTCTAGATATGTGTTTTCACACATTTTATGCCTTTGACAAGCATAAGAATCCACAGGGAATCCTGTTAAAATGCAGATTCTAATTCAGGGTTTCTGAGTAGAGCCTGAGATTTTTCATTTCTAACAAGCTTCTAGGTGATGTAGATCCTATCCACAGATGACACTTTGAGCAGAGCTGGCTTCCAGTCTACTTTTAAAAATTTCCATCACCAATGTCAATTTGCCATTCAAGGCCATAATTTGGTATTAAAAAGAGGACTGTTAAAAGATATCCCCCAGAAGTAATAGATAAGAGAACAGAAATTTGCCTCTATTATAGCACATGAGATGCAGCAAATGAGAGAAGAACAAATGGGCTGCAAATCTAGTTCTGGATAACTTTGGACAAGTCCCATGACTTATTTGTGTCTATTTGTCTTCCTTTTTATAATAAATAATTTCAAGAAGATTATTTTAAAGTCTTTTTGAGCTCAAAATTCATTGTGTATTGCTATGATTGAAATGTTTGTATTCCCCTCCCCCCAACCAACATCATATGTTGAAACCCTAACCTTCAAGGTGTTGGTATTAGGAGGTGGGATGATGGGGAGGTGATTATTTCATGAGGACAGAGCCCACATGGGAATTTGTGCCCTTATCAAGAAGGCCCCAGAGAGCTAGCTCACCTTTCCACTATATGAGGACACAGCAAGAAAATGCCACCTATGAGGAAGCAGGACTTCGCCAGAGCTTGACCATGCTGGCTCCCTGGTCTCAGACTCCCAGCCTCTTGAACTGTGAGAAACAAATTTCTGTTTTTTATAAGCTACCCGGTTTATGGTACTTTGTTCTAGCAGCCTGAATGAATTAAGACATGTATGTAATTAACTTTGTATTACTCTCTACTGAGCACTCACAGTGCTTCCATAAAATCTGCTTGGAAAATGCTTTTGAGTACAGGGACTGTGATTTGTACATTTTTAAGCCCCTAGAGCATTCTCGTGGTGCTCGGCTCATAGTAGGTTCTTCCAATTGCTTGTTAGAAGCCCTAGATGCCAATTATAAACTATTTTCTCAGAAGACTGTTCAATTTTTAAAATAATAGCTAGATTTTCATTTTTTTTGTTTTTATTTTGTAGAGATTATCTTTTTTTGCACTAATGAGAAAGATGAATACACTGAAAGATGTTATTTTCAGTAACCACAAAAAGGACTTGCACAAGGTATCTGCCCTATTGCATCACTAATGGAGTAACCTCTTTATGCTTATGTAATCCACACATAGTGGGCACAAAATGCCAAAGGGTTTAAAAGTACTGAAAAGGACTTTTCCCTTGGAATAGCAGCATTTTTATTTTAAGCTGCAATTTAAAGATATTAAAGTTTGTCATTTTGCTCCTTCCCCTGTTGTTGTAGTTGAAAAGCAAAATAGACAAAATTTTTGAAAGGGCAACAGCAAATGACCAAAGAAAATAAAATGTATTATTTTATAGAGTTCAGTATTTTTAGTGACACTTGCTTCAAACTCTCATTCTTTATTCCTAAAACCATGGAGACAAGTAAATACCTCCTCTAAGGGCTAGAACCAAATACAATGGGTACGGTAAGGCTGAGACCTGGGGCTCAGCAGGCCTGGGGAAATAATGAAGCCTGAGAGTTAAAGCTTATTAGGAAAGTGTCATCATTAAAATTAGGCCAGGGAAGATAGTAAGACTAAATTGGTTGGGTCAACAATGGCCAAATTACTCAGGAAGTTCTAACAGATGGTGTTGAGACCCTTAGAGAAAACGGACCCGTCCTAGGAAGTAGAAGGCTGATGACAAAGTATAGCCTTGAGAACCATGAAGGGAACAGACTAGTGTATCTACTCATTAGTGTTGTTCTGAAAAAGTGATTTGGGTACAAGTAGCCCAAGTGATAAAAATAATACATTCCCTGTCCACATAAGAAAAGTTCCTCTTAGTTAACAGGACAATACACAGATATACAAAATTACAAGAGACAGATATAGATGAAGAATGCTAAAGTAACAGAAGCAGAGCACCAGCATCAACAGTTAAGACACATAATACTGAACTTTAGCATAAACAAGGAGAAATCTGAATCATCCCTGAAACCAACATAAGTGCCATCGCTATGTTTACTGCTGAGGACACAGTAATTAGTAAAAACAGACATAGCACCTGCCCATGTGCATACCATTATTCAGTTTGGAAGATGTCCATAAAATATTCACCCATGCAAATGTGCAACTATGATCTACACTAGGAAAGGGAAGTGCATGGTGTTCTGGAAATTTCTAAGAGGGACATTTGACCTGACCAGGATAGTGCAAAACAAAATCCTTGAGGAAATGATGATTTTGCTAAGATATGAACGAAGAGTAGAAGTTAACAGGATGATGTGTGTGGTGGTGGTGATTTGGTGTTGGGGGGTATTGACGAAGAAAGGATGAGATTTTCCATGAGTTGGGGAAAGTGTGAGGAATGTACCGTATTTAAGGAACTAGTAGTCGGCCTATGTTGAAAAGTCAAGAGAAAGGGATGTGTAGTGATGGATGAAACTGAAGAGAAGGCAGAGGGAAGACAGGGAAAAGCTAAAAGGCCACGTTAAATATTTTGGTCTTTATTCTAAGATTAATGAAAAACAATTTAATTATTTAAACAGGGGACTGACATGGAATTTAAATTTGATATAAGAAAAAGAAAAAAAGATCATTCCAGCAATGTCATAGTGCTGTAGTGTAGCCCATATTTGAAAGAAATAAGGTAGAAGGTTTTTGGAGATTTTACAGTTTTCCATGTGAAGATGACAGCAGCTTGAACTAGGGTCATAGAGACAAAAATAGAAAAAAGTTGTTGGTTTGAGAGATGTTTAGGAAGTAAAATCAGCAGAACCTGGAGATGGATAAATTGGATATGGCATATGAAAAGAGCAAGACATCAAGGATGACTCAGGTTTCTGGCCTGTATATTTTTGAAATAGCAATGCTAGAAAAAGATCTTGTTTTGTTTTGTTTGCAGTGGGAAAGTAGGAATGATAATAAGTTCAATTTGGGTTGGATAGAGTTTAAAATGTCTTTAAGATGTCCACATAGAGATACTAAATAAACAATAGAACATACCAGTCTGGAGCTTAAAAAGGAAAGCTCTGAGCTGGAGATAAAATTACACAAAGCACCAATGTGGTCAAATCCATACACCTTGGTGAAACTGCCTGGAAAGAGTAGATAAAGTGAGAAAAGAGGAGATCTTAGGATGAGTCTTGAATCAGTCTGAAATGTAATGGAGAAGGATAAATCTGGCATGCTTGCCTCACTCTGACCACACTTTAATCTAAAAAGGTGCTATCGGCAAAATAGAAAATAACAAATAAACAGAGCAAACTACAAGATCATTCTTTCAAATTCAGGGAACATACCAGAGCAAGACAGCTTAAAGTGGTCACTGATGTAAGTAAACTATGTCCAAAATTCAAATAATCAAAACATATATTAAGCTCTGATTTTCACCTTACCAAAGGATGTTTTTATTTACCAGGCAAAGTATTTGCGCCAGCTTTATTAAAAACGTATTTCTCTCCAAAAATGTGAAATGAGATTTGCTTGGCATTTGGAGCACCAAGGGAGCTCTCACCGATTGTCCCCGCCCTCACTGATTGTGAACACTGGTGCCGAATGAGGACGCCTGCCGTGTACCTCAGACGTGAAGCTCAGATTTCCAACATGCTCACGCAGGAGAGAGGCTCCACTTAAACCTGAACAAAGCATGTTTGGTTTCCAGAGAGGGGAGAGAGTTTACAATGAAATAGAAAAAAAAGAATAGTATCTTCTGAGTGCAACATATATGTTCATGTACATATCTCCAAAGCCACTCCTTCGTCAGTAACAATCAGAAAACATTGATGCTGAGGGAAAAACCTAGGTATTGTTTATGAATAACTAGCCAAGAGGTTAAGGCTTTAGACTGAAGTTAACCTGGAAGTACAAAGGTGAATTTCGTATAGTATTTCTAGGAAGAAAATGATGTATCTATGTCTTCATTTCTTAATGGTTGATTCTATATTTCATTACATAACCAAAAATGTATAGGTACTAGACGTGTATAATCACACTAAAAGATAAACTATCTGTAAACTCAGTTTTTACATTTGAGTTTAAGCAAGTGATGATTTTTTTTTCATTTTAGAAATAATAGCTGTTAAGGGAGGCATAATAGTATGCAGTGAGGCAGATGAACAAACTGAAGAATTAGTGAAATACTACCATTCAGTAGCTTCATCTATGAGAAAGAAATATTCTCGCAGGGCTCTCAATGAGATTTTTAAATCCTGTGTTTGAGTGGTTTATATTTTTATATCTACTATTTTAAATTGTTCTGAGAAATATTTTTGTACCCCGGAGAGAACTAATGAAAACATAACTGAAAATACACACTCCACCTTTTTCAATATCTTTGTAATCTTTATTTTAAATTTTCTTTTATGTTTCCTTTCAAACGTATGTTTTTCTTCTGACATTACTATTCTATGATAAATTTTAATTTTCTTATTCTTTGTCTAACTTTACAGATTTAAATACCTCAACAAACTTAAAGTATAAGGATGGAAAAAAAAATCTTGATGTGATGTCAATGTGCCAACTGAAAGGTATTTATACTTTGTAGTCAGAAATGTTATAATGAAATTGTCTCTGCTTGTGATCTCACATTATGGAGAGTTCTGAGGGTCTGACAACTCCTGACATTATGATATACTCCTATTGCACAGTTAAAGCAGACAGCCAGAGCAGAGTTCTCAGCAGAGCATAAGGAAAGATTTATAGACATGGCAAAAGAACACTTTGCCTGTTCCCTTCTTTAAATAATTATGACTTTCCATGAATCTCTTTCTAAATCAACTACAGAATGACAAATATCTGGGCAAAGAAAAGGCCACAAAAATATCACTTACAGTAAGCACTGTTGAGGTTTTAGAAGCACAGTATTGAATTCTCTCTTGTGCGTTCTACATATGATTCATTATGAGGGACGCTCCCCACCTCTCCACACACCATATATTTCTCCCATTATCATTCAAGAAGTACTTTTACAACTCCCTCTCTCTGTCAAGTTCATTCTTTTCTCAATACAAGGGGTCAAGATGAAAATATTTCAGTGTATTTTTCATTGAACAAATTGAGCTGGTGGGGTAAAGGTATTTGCTTAATTGCCTACATGATACATGCACTCTGGAAGGACTTTCTAGGATTTGGGAAAAAGAAAAGAAAAAACACATACATAGGTATATGTTGCATTCAGTCCTAAAGGATTGTGTAAAGTAAAATTTTTGACTACTGAATTTTTTTAAATGCATCCTTTTTCTGAGATGGGAAAAACAACTAATATTTATGAAGTATCTACTCTGCAAGGTCCTTCACATTTGCCATATCTGTCAATATTTACAACAGCCCAAGGACAGAAGGGATATCTGTCCCATTTCACAGACAAGCACACTGAGTTTTAGTCAGTTCATATGCTCAAGACCACACAGCCAGTAATAGACCCAGAATCTGGCTCCCAATTCCATGTCCATTCCCAAGACCTGACCATCACTTACACCACATAAGTATTGCATCCAAACATGAATAAACAAACAAAATGACAACAAAAATAATCTAGACCTCTTGCTTGGCTATTATAATCTAAATGCACAGTGAGAAAATAAAAAAGGTTATTTCTTTCTGATTTCATATTTTATACGATTCCACTTATTAGAAGAGTCTAGTAATAAAATACTAGAGAAGTATCATTTATAAATTTGCACATTTGCTGAGCTCTGAGCTATGCATATTATTTGCACTGTATCATGTGACTGGTTTAATCCTCACAATAACAACACAAGGTAGGTAATATTACTATCCCCATTTTAATAATGAGGAAACTGAGGCTGAGAGGTTAAAAAGCTTATCTAGGATTACATAGTTTGTAAGTAGCAGAGCAGGTTTTGAATCTATGATTTTATGATGCTAAAGAGTTCTTATCCACTATGCTAAATTGCCTCCCTTAATTATATAATTTCTTAAAAACTAAAATATAACAAGCTATTGTTTTTATATTTCTATATATTTTAAAAGCAATACATTGCATTGTGTCTGAAAACTATATGATTCTTAGTTTTAATTACCCAAATAATATATAAATTTTGTAAAAGAATTCTGTAGAAAACCAATACAGAAGATAATTTTGAAAACTGACATGTATCCAACCTGTTGCACTCCCCACTAATCCTACCTTCCTCCCCAAAGGTAACCATTGTTCACAGATATGTATCCTTCCAGAGTTTTTCAATATATTTCACATAGATAATTGTAGCTTATATTCCGACACAGCTTTAATGTTCTCATTCTTCTCTCCTGAATGGTTTTCCATAACATAGATATGTCATATTTTAGTTTTCCATTCTACAACTGATAGAAATCACATTATTTTATGGGTTCTTTAACTTTATGTCATGTGCTCTACCCAATTAGCTATCTATTGGATGTCTCTGTTTGGTGCTAATTCCTGTATGTTCTCTGCGTCATGGCTACCAAAAATATGAGCAATGGACCAGTGATGGTCAGAGATGATTTGAACTGGTCCGTTGTGAGGTGAGTACAGAAGCCGAGAGTAAGCCAACTGTATGAGCATGCTTCTAGTAATTTACTTTTATCACATTTCACAAATGTATGCAATGAAAGAAAATTAAAAAAAAAAAAAAAAGCCAATCCTTCACCACAGATAGTCTGAGAAACAGTTTCTACTGGAATTCAGTGAGCAGGACTACTGTTCAACCAGTCACCTAAGCCAGAAGTGAGGGACAAATCCTTCCTATCTCTCTGACCATGAATATGACAGAGAAGCAGGAGAAAGCCCAGGAGAACATTTTTGGAGCAAAGGAATTGCTTTCAATCTCTTGTCTATACTGGCCTCTTTCCCACTAGGATTAAAACATGCTGATTTTCTCTAATCTTTTAAATACCCTTCTTCAATCCCACATGGCTCCCTAACTATTGCACTCCGTTCTTCTCTTTACAGTAACACTTTTGTTAAAAAATTTTGTGAACACCATGTTCCCTCCCAGGATCCCCATCAGTTTTGTTAACCACTGTGATTTTCCCCAGCTCCTGTCTTGACAATCTTAAAGTAAAAAACGATGGCCTTATTTCTATATCCACTGTTGAGTTCTCTTCTTCCTTGATCTCTGTGCAACATTTAATACCATCAACTATCCACTCCTTCTTATCTTCAATCTGTTCAATAGTTTCTATTTCAAATCCATGAAATATGAAGACATCTATCAGTAGGTACAGGAAAATCTAAAATTGCCCCTGCAGAGATTAAGACAGGACAGTATCTACAGAAAATATAAAGATGGCCAGGCAGCCTGGGTCAACCTGGAGAACATCAGTGCAGAGCAGCACCAGTTTCTTCTTTCTCTTATTCAGTGAATGTAGCGCCAGTGTAGGCACAGAGAAAGTGGGTGGTTGCATTGACCCAGAGTCTGTCACTTTAAAGGTTTTGGTGGTAGCTAAATGCAACTAGAGTGGATAAGATTCCCTAAGGGAAACATGTTAGAGGAGAAGCAAGGAGGACCAAGGATAGGATTCTAGAAATGTTAATATTTAAAGAGTTGGAAGACATAAAAAGGAATGAAATAATGTCATTTGCAGCAACTTGCATGGAACTGGAGAACATTATTCCAAGTGAGATATCTCAGGAATGATAAAAAATGCCACATGCTCTCACTAATAAGTGAGACCTAAACGATGGGTAAACATGGCCATAAAGTGGTGTAAAGGACAGTGGAAACTAAGGAGGGGGAGAAGGTTTAAAAACTTACCTATTAGATGTAATGTACATTATTCTGGTGTGGGGCACACGGAAAGCCCTGACTTCAGCATTATACAATTCAACCACGTAGCAAGAACACTTGCACACCCTAATATGCTGAAATAAAAATTATTTTTAAAAACATTTTTAAAAAAGAGTTTTAAAAAAGATGTTTACGGATGATGTTGAAGAAAAATAGTAGCCAGGTGAAAAAAGAAACATGAAAAAGTAGGGACTGAAAATTAGAGAAAAGAGTTTTAAAGGGTAGATGTGATCAATAGTAGCAACTGTAGGCTAATATGTTGCATGAGGCAGGGGAATACATGATTGGATATAAAAATTAAGAAGCCATGAGTGATTTTATCAAGGATAGTTTCAGAAGCACCCTGGGAAGTCCATGCAGCTAAAGCTTTTGCTGAATCAGATACAAACACTTCTTGCAGCACTGGGACTTATACTAGTGGCCATGGTATTCCCAAAGCCATAAAATATATGACCACAATTAGTGGGCAGAAGCAAATCTCCCTGGAAAAATCTTTGTACGCACACTACCATCCCAAAGGCTTTGACATAAAAGTGTTATCTGTCATCATCTACTCTACTGCATAAACCACCTAGGCCTCTCTGGAAGCCATTCAATCAAGACAAAGCTCCCTTCACTTTGATAAAGAGAAAGAGCAAACTACAAAGCTTATGTCTTCTGCCTACTACCATTTCCAAGCTCTGGCTTTATTGGCTTGACTTTTTATAATAATTTTCTTCTCTTTTCTCTTCTCCAAGACTCATTCTTCATGCCTAAAAGAATGTACCAACATGACACCAAAGCTTCTAAATCAACATGAAAGTTATAGTGATAAAAGGACTAATCTTATTTTGCTCTTCCTCTTGCTTTCCATTTATATTTCTCATTCCAAAAGACATCCCAAGCACCCTCCTTGTTTCAGCAATTTGTATCAGTAAGTTCCCATCATTTCTTCCCACTAGCAAAGCACTTGACAAAGGGAGGGATAGTTTGGGGACTACCTAATGTGTTAAAAGCCCAACAGAAGTCTAAGAACCACCCTGCAGCTTCAAGTGTCACTTGGTAGAGAGGAAAATTCTCCTGCTTTGTCAGAAAGCCATGATGCTAAAGATGGGACAAAAGAAAAACTGTTCCATTGGATGGACTCCCTGCTCTATTTTAATTTAGCACAGAGGCAGAAACAATGCTATATATCCATCCAATTTCACTTTATAGTGTCTTCCAAGGATACAATGATGACTACATACCCAGCTAGCTATCTGACATCTAGGTAAGGCCATGTTTCCATTCTGGCCAATGAAATGCCAACATCAGCTATGTGGCTTGAGATTGACCCCCTGCTATGGTAAAGGGGAGTTCTTATGTAAAATATAGTAGACATACAAGAGTCAAGAAGCCTGGTTTGAATCAGCTGAGATACCACGTGGAGAACAGTCATCATTAAATATCTCCCAACTTGCAATCAGGCTTTTTATGAGCTCCAAACTTTTGTTGCTTTTAGCTATAAGATTTGAAGTTTAATTTGTTACTACACAGCATAGTCTTTCCTATGTTGATTAATACATGCATCATACAATTATAGACCTAAAAGAGATTATTTTCCCCAATTTCTGCTTTTTATACATCAAACCGAGGCCTAATGAGTCTGTGTAACATGTCCAATAGTACCAAATCATTGAGTGACACAGAGAAGCCTAGATCATTGCTCTCTTGATATTTGGTCCACTGTTCCCTCTTTCATAACCAAGATTATAATATAAGGTATTAGAAAAAAAAATGGCAAATATTTTGATAACCTGCCTTTACTGACATTTTAGAAAAATAGGCACATTTATATATATGCACACAATAAATAAATAAATATTATTAAATAAATGTGTGTGCATAAATGCAGAAATATCTCAGTGACTAATACAGATACAGGAGTGACATGAGAGTGACTGATAAGTGAAACAGGAATTATGCCCCTTCCCATCCCACCAGATTCTGTGTGTTGTATTTAAGTTTTTCACCCTGCCCCTCAAAGTAATCAAACATTGAAGCGATGTAGTTAAGTATGAAGGGGGAAAGAAGAATAGTTTCTTCCACAAAAGCAATAGGATGAGGAAAGTGTTCAAAACTGACAAGATAGAGCATTCGAGGGTGGAAGAAGGAGATTAGTGTGACTAGAAATGAGTAGATAATGATGATGGCTAAGATCAAGCAAGCAAGCTGGTCCTTACGTGTTCATGAGTTCATATGCTCTGTGGGAGGAGGGTAATTTTCACAAGGAGAATAAGTTGATAGTCTTTAGGAATTCTTTATTAGTACTATCTGCTATGGGTTAGGAAAAAGACAAAATAGTGTGAAGAGAATTGCTATCTGTTACATAAGACTGAGGGAGTCTCTTGAATTCCTCAGAGAAAAGCGGTGATGAAAACAATGTCACTCTAACTCATGTTTTCCCTCGTGGTTAATTCGCCATTATGATAAATTATCTCCCACCTTTGTGCCTATATGTCTCTGAATGAGGCTTTCCCTTTTGTGGTGTTTTAATCTCCTTTCTTGATAAAGTGCCTTAGATTCAAATGGCCCTCTGTTCTGACCTATCATTCTATGCATGACAGAATCATGCATAAAGCATTTCCTCCCACCAGTTAGCAATAGTCATATCCTCCCTATGCCTCCATGGTACTTTCAACATATATTCACTACATGTTACTTCATTTCGATTTAGTATGATTCATTTGTATGAGCACCTCCTATTCAACTATTATATAAGTGTTTTAAGGTAAGGATTGCTTCATATCTGCCTATATTCCCAGCACTGACACCGGTTAAGGTCCAAATTTTGTTTGTTTCAATAAATAAATGGGTGAATTGCAATGGAAGTAATTATTTGATAGTAAGGGAAAGGATCCTACAGATGTTAATAAATTACATGTATAGAAGGTTAGAAAGCTAGAATCAAAGCTTTGCTGATTATGAGTTTGACATATGCCCCTCTTTCAAGGAAGTCTGGCTAACAAACATCCTTCCTCGTTCTAGGAGGAACACTTTTTCAAATACATACGAACACCCATTCTTGGCTTAAGAAATAAGAAGTAAAAACCAGACCCTGTGTAGAAATCAGAAACCAGAGCAAGACCCACAAAGATAGCAGCTGATAAATTCTTCTCCATAAGAAAGGAGAGAATGCCCTCTACAAATAACCCAGCCAGCTTCAGGTCACCACATCTTCAATGGGTGGAAACATATCAAACTCAGAGTGAAAAGAGGGGATCATTCTGGAGTACAGAATTTGCCTAAATCCTGAGCAGAGAGTACATATAAAGGGAGAGGAAAATTAGGAAGCCTGAACAACCCCAAAGACAGCATCTGATGGGACTCCCTGTGGCTTGCTTGCTAGTTAAGTGTTAATGAGAAACCTGGGAGTACACCCCAGGTACTATGAGAAGGACTTCTCTGCCCCCCACTTCCCTATCCTCAAGCATCATAGCAGGGACAGTTAACAGGGTGTTTGTAATATGGTTTAAATTCCCCAAATGAGAGTGACTTTCTGAAGACTAAACTGTGGTGATGGACCTGACTTTCCTCATGCTTCCTGCAACTTGCTCTGCTTCCTAAAACTCAATTCTCTGGGTTGACCTTGCTTAGCTTGTATTATATTTTAGATAAGCCCATCTATTAATAATTTACTCATTTCTCATTTATATTATGTTATGTTTGTTTTCTTAAGGAAGTAAGAGTATTGATTTTAATTCCTATATCATGAAG